ACATATTATTTTTAAAATGAATAATTTAAGACATTTTAAGTCTGGGTCAAAACAAGAATATAAACAAAAAAACCAGAATGACAGAGTAACAGAAACATAGGTGGAGAAAATGGACAGATTTATTAGTCAAATAATTTACAACATAGTTAAACATTATGTTCAAATATGCTTGACAAGTAATCTAAGAAACGTATGTTAAGTAATCAAGTTGGTGGTGTAACTACAGGACCAGAACCAGAATTTGTCATCACAAAATGTACTTCTTTGGAATAAGAATTATTTTAGGCTGATTATTATTATTATTTTTCTTTTTTTGGTGAGGAAGATTGGCCCTGAGCTAATATCTGTGCCCATCTTCCTCTATTTTGTATGTAGGAGGCTGCCACAGAATGGCTTGGTGAGCAGTGAGTAGGTCCATGCCGGGGATCTGAACCTGGAAACTCTGGGCTGCCGAAGCAGAGTGCATGACCCTAACCACTATATCACCGGGCTGGCCCCTAGGCTGATTATTTTTAAGAAACAGCAGACATAGGGAAAAAAGCTATGAAAATCTAATAGAAGTTACACACTTGTAGGGGAAATGTACATTTATAAGATAAATTTCCATTTGTAGGGGTGCCTTCTTCTCTGAGCCTGCTGACTAAATCTCTAGAAACTCTTTATCAGTAGAGAAGGGAATGACTTAAATCTACATAAGAACCTCACCCTTGTTTACTGTGCTGACCTCATCTTAACAACAGAATGTTAAGACTATTTTTCAGGGGCCATGAGCCAGCCAGGAGTATGCACAGAAGAGACAGCCGATGGAAACCCATCCTGCCAGCGCTTCTGCATACCAGCCTGCCCTCCCTAATCCCTTAAACCTTACCCTATACCCTGGATCCGGGAGACAGAGTTGAGAGGCTGTCCTTCTGTCTCCTTGCCAAAGGATTGCATAACAATAAATTGCTTTTTCCCTCAAAGCCTGGTGTACACAGTATCGGCTTCTGTGCGCATGGGTGGAAAGAGAACCCTCGCTCGGTAACAGTAGTATGTTTTATCAATCAGATTAGTAACTTTTAAAAATACCTGTAATTCCAGTTTTGGCAAGGCTATGGAGCATATAATTGCCAGCATTTAGTGAGTGCTCATTCAGTGCTAGGTATTGTGCTGAATACATGTATTGTTTTCTACCTATCCTACCCCTAAAATCCTAAATTTTTAAAATCCTAAACAAACCCCATTAGATACTGTTGAAAAACAAAATTCAACTGAGTAAGTTTAAAGATCTAACTGGCTTTATTAAGCGATTCATGAGTCAGGCAGCATCCCTTCCAGCAAGTAGAGCGATACTCTGAGGAGTTATACAAAATAGCAAGTTTTTATGGGAGGGAGAGTGGGGCAAGGAAGTTATTGGCAAAAGAAAAGAAAGGATTATTTTGGGCCAGGACATCTTTTCTCTGGAGGTAAGGGAAAGGCAAGGCAGATTGCCTCTTCTTCCGGGGGTGGGGGGATGGAGAGGGCTCACACAGGTTACCTCATTGGTACTGACCAGAAAATTCCAGACTGGTTGATTAAGATTACATTTTGGGGGAAGGAAACTGCAATTAGGGTAGGTATGAAATCTAAGTTTGAGGTCATGGGATTTAGCACAATTGATGCCATTTTGGGCCTGTGGTTTTCTCTTTAACAATCCTACTGTATCCTCTGTATCTTGCAGGTGAGGAGACTGAGGCTTCCAGGGTAAGTCACTTGCTCAGCAGTAAGCAGAGCTAAGGTTCCCAGGTCAAATATGCTGAAGGACTTATCCTGTAAGGGGTGGCATGGAGGCACATGCATAGCAGGTCACAGGAGGAAAGAGAGCTGGAGATACAGGCTGATTTTTTACATCGCCAGAGTAATGTATGTTCAAATATGTTTGTCAACATGTAAGGATGATCACCAGTAGAATGAAATAACAGGAAATTCTCACTCAGAACTTTCCAGATGGGAAGAAGAAAGAAGGGCAAGGGGAACCTAAAAAAAGGAACAGAGAAAAAACATGATCAGAAATGGAGAAATGGAAAACCACAGGAAATCTTAATTTAGAGACCATAAAATCAGACGACTGGATGAAATGGATTGGTTATCCTAGGGACTTACCTTCTCTCATGCAAAGTAAAAGATGTGCAGACAAAGTGAAAAGAAAAATAAGATTATACTGTTTCAAGAAGATATTCTGTAAGCAGATAATAGAGGTAGGCCAAAATATACCTGAGAATTGGAACTGCAAACAAACAGGATGGAGGGCAGAAACATATCACACAAGGGATGTTTCAAGACAAAAAGAAAAGGCATAAAACAGGACCAAGTAGAATTTGTTTCTTATATTTTTAAGAAACAAAAAGAAATATTTGGAGAGTATCTGACAAAACCCAAATGCAGGCAGTGCAGCTGGGTCTGAGGAAGGATGAAAAGAACAGAAAAGTCCCTGGAAATGAGCAGACACTCTCAGTCTCTCTTTATCAGGCTGCTGGACTGCTTCATTCTTCTCTCTGTGCAAGTCAGGTTTTTCATCTTTTGCACACACAGTGTTGGGGGTTACACACAGGTCTGCAGTACCAAGTACTCTGTACAAGTAGCCAGGAAAGAATCCAAGAGGAGTGTTTTAGCCTGATGCAAAGTACATGACATGAAATCTATAAGGCTTCTGGCACCAGAGAATACTGCTGCAAAATACATGAAGCAAAAGGCGAGGAAAATTGTAAACCACGTGCACTTCCAGTGAGAATCATTGAATGAACAGAGACAGGCACAAAGGAGACAGGACGGCATTTGTTATTTCAGCTCACAGACTGGAGATGGTCTGTACTGGAAATCAGTCGTTGCTTACAGAGAACCCAGGATCTCTGTAAGCTGCTACTCACCAGCTGTGTGAAACTGGGCAAGTTATTTCAACTCTCTGGGCCTCACTTTTCTCCTCTATAAAATGGGGGTGATTATGATAGTGCCTGCTTCATGAGATTGTTATGTGGATTAAATTTGTTAGTATTTAAGTGTGCTGTCGGGGTGGGGAAAATCCCCTTTCTTCCCTACTTGTGTTCTTATGGCTGGACTAATAATAAAATTGACACAAGGCCAGATGAACAGGAGAAAAACCCAGTTTAATATGTAGGTATTGGAGATCATAGACAAATGCTGCTCAGAGAGTGAACAAAGCAGACAGTACCTATATATATTTTTTACACAAAGAAACAATAAATTTGTGAGGAATGACAGGACAAAGAAATTTAGATTTGAAGTACGTAATTAGTGAGGAATTTAAGCAGAGTTTAGGCTTGAGGTCGTAAATTAGCAAGGTTTGTTTATTCAGGCTTCTTCACCCTGAATTCCCTAGCTCTGCTGATAAGGATACAGGGAGGGCACCTTTCACATGGGAGATTTATTTTCTGCTTTCAGGGAGAACAGAGACAGGAGGGTCAGAATGCACTTTTTGCTTCTCAAGTAACTTTAATCCATAATAATCAATATGTTATTGTGGGATATTTCGGGGTGGGCTGCCTGGGCCCCAACAGTGCCTTGCATATAGTAAGTACCTCATGTGGTCGCTAAGTAACCCCATTATGTTATAAAATCAGCACATTCCACTTTTTGAAATCCCAATGGGACTTTTTTTTTTTTAATTGGCAAGTGGATACTAAAGCTTATTTAGAAGAGTGAAGACGTATGACTTGATCAAGGAAAATGTTGAAAAAGAAGATTAATGAGGATGGGCTTGCTCACAGTGCTACAGAGATTACTGGGTGGTACATGTGAAGGGGCCAACATACTGAAGGAAAAGAATAGAGTTTGGAAGCCATCTAGAGGACCAGAACTCACAAACTCCATCCTAGATACAAAGTTCTTCTAAGAAACAAGTTATTGAAAAAAAGTTTCTAAATAACATTCTCTGTGTACAAAATACTGGCAGTGTTATTAAATATGCTAATTTTGTATCTTCTACAGGAGACAGCAGACATACAGAAATAATCAGAAGTCTTTTTTTTTTAATTCGACAGTCTCATGCATTAATGAGTTCAGTCTGTTTCTACTTTGCTTGCTGAACAATCTCTGGATTTCATATAATTAGTAAAAGAGTAAACATGATTGAATAAATATTGAGGGAATGGGAAATGGTAAGGAAGATTTCACACGATTATCATGGACAATGGGACACAGATGAGAGTCTGAGTTAAGAATTGCACGCTTAGCACTTTGTTTCCCCTTCTGTTGTGTATTTAGGAAGTAATTAGAGTACAGAAGAACTTAATAGACAGACTGGAAGCAAAAAGATAGTGACCCCTTTCTACTTTTCTTCTTCAGCCAAAGACAAACTCCATGAATTACAAGAAGTTTTGGAACTGCCTTGTTACATGAGGTGCTCAAGAAACATAGAACGGCAGCTCTTACCTGTTAAAAATATTTCTTGAACTTTACTGGAAAATAGGATGTACTAGAAATCAGTGGTTTGTTACAGGGAAAGTAGTATGTTTTCTGGGACTTGTTGCAGAAATAACAAGCCTGTAGGTCTTGGGAATGCAGGTGTTTTTATTTGACATTGCTGTAAGGATTCTTCTATTTTCTGTTCCAAGGAAGATGCTGCAGTTGGGGCGCATGCAATGCAACTGAGATGCAGGTGTTCAGAGTTCATTTTGTTATCCTGAAAAAAATCACATTGCTTCACTGCCATGTTTCTAGATCCAGGTATTAAGAACTACATTTCAGTTCTGAACTACTTTCTGACCTGATTTGTATGTTTATAGCTATCATTAAGAAAACAAATCTCTTCTTTTCGCTTCTGTCTGCTCTACTGTCTCTGAACTGGCTCTTATGCATCTTTAAAAGATTGTGTTGGGAGTCAACTCCCCCATTAGGGCCTTGTATGAAAAAGCTCATTAAGAAAGCCTAGATTCTCTTGGTTTGAGAGTTCCTAATGTTTTGATATGTCCAGCTAGCATCTGCAGCTATGAACTCCCTGCTGAGGAACTGGCCGGGAGACAAAGAAATGGAAAACTGTAAAGAAGTCGCCTTGTGATGTGAGCAAAGAGTTTTTGGCAGCCTGGCTGAAGTAAGACCATAATCCTTTTCGGAAATCAGTCTAAAACGGAACTATTCATAAAAAACATGAAATTAAAAGCATGGTGTAGTAGTGACCCAAAAGGAATGTGAATTCTTCTCCAGGACATGCAGAGACCCGTGGATGAACTGTTTCTAGATTCTTGGTAAGCTTTCCTGAGAGTAAGTTAACCTCTAAAATTGTGGTTATTCTGCATATGGGAATATAACCTAACGACTTCAAATAGAAAATGCCAAACATTTGGATGGAAACTATTTAATGCAGTAAGTTATCAGCGAGTTGTTGTGATTATTCAAACTGTCTGCGCATTTCATATTGTATCACTGAATAGTTAGTTGGAGAAGTAAGATATTTTTTTTTCATTTTTACCCCATGTCTAAGGCATGTTTGGACAAATAGCACGTATTATGGAATAGGCTATTGGATAAATTGAAAGGAATGTAACTTTATGTTGCCTCTCTTCAAGTATGTTTCCCAAGTTATTAGAATTACTTACTCTTTTTTGTTTTCAATTTTTACTGCCAGAGGATTTGTGAGCACGGAGGGATACTGATTTTCTGAGTTTTGAATTGTTTTAACTGGCTTGAGAATATTTTCATAAAGAAAACTTAGGGCAATATTTTTATTGAGCTTGTTTATCATACTAAATACATAAGAATTTTGATCTAATTTGTTGTGCAATGTATTTATTCTGCGAATACTAGGAATTCTATCTGACGGGAAATGACTGGCTTTTTATAGCCAAGTTATTATTTCTAGATCACTTGATTTCCTATCAGAGCAATTTAAGCTAGTTCGATGTTTTGTGCTACTACGGTGAGCAGTATTTTTTTTTCCTATTTATATCAGCATGTGCAATGGAAAATAAATGTCTTAACAGTCAGAAACAAATAGCCACAATCACGACAATTGGATCATGTTAATTATTATTTATTCATAAATAATTTCCAGCACATGCGTTAATCCACAGAAAGAAAGAAGAGTAGGCCCTCGGGCAATAGATTTAACCCTTTCAGATACCATGCTTTACTGCCACGTTGATTTCCTAATTGGAAATGCTGCAGGTTGATTTCCTGGACAATTTTTAAACATAAATTCACGTCCTTCTGTGTTCCTAAAGTCCTTGCTCTGGACCCACTTTAGAATTTCTTCCTGTCTTGTTCTCAGTGCTCATGCTCTCAGCTCCTTTTATGCTCCTTGAATTAGTTTTTTTTTTTTTTTTAAGTTAATTATTAATGATTGTTTGGAATCACTTCCTCAGTAATTTTATAATTTTATTTTTCCCCCAAAGGCCCAGTAGATAGTTGCATGTCATAGTTGCACATCCTTCTAGTTGCTGTATGTGGGACATGGCCTCAGCATGGCCAGCGAAGCGGTGCGTTGGTGTGCGCCCGGGATCCGAACCCCGCGCCGCCAGCAGCCGAGTGCGCACACTTAACTGCTAAGCCACTGGGCCGGCCCGAATTAGTTTTCTATTGTTGCTGTAACAAATGACCAGACGTACCGGCTTAAAACGAAACAGATTTATCACCTTACAGTTTGGGAGGTGAGAAGTGTGACATGAGTCTCACTGGACTAAAAATCAAGGTGTTGGCGGGGCTGCGCTCCTTTCTGGGGGAGGTAGGGGAGAATTCTGGTGTCTTGCCTTTTACAACTTCCAGAGGTTGCCCACATTTCTTGACTCATGCCCTTCTTCCTCCATCAGAAAGGGCAGATTGAGTCCTTTTCACATTGCATTCTCTGACCTCCTCTTCTGCCTCCCTTTACCACTTTTAAGGACCCTGCTGATTACAATGGATCCGTCCAGATAATCCAGGATTATCTCCCTGTTTTAAGTCAACTGATTATCAACCTTAATCCCATCTGTTACCTTAATTCTCCTTTGCCGTGTAATGTAATATATGTATTCATAAATTCCAGGATTAGAACTCGACCATTATTCTGCCTACCGTGTTCTTCTTCAATTATTCCTTTTTCAGACTTAAATAGCAGAAGCACGGTATTCCCCGAAATAAACCATGGCTTGGCTCTGTCTCTGGCAGTGCCCTCAGGGCTGCCTTGAGTAGATCATCTTCCATTTGAGCTGCCTTCTGATACCAGCAGGAGCCAGCATATATTCATGGCTTTACTCCTGCCCCATGGATACGATCAGGATTTTAGGCCATGAACCTAGTAGCCAGAAGCAACCTCATTGGTAAAATGATGGAAAAGACAGCAGCAACTCTATGATTTCCATTCCTCTTCACTATGGGTCCAATTCTGGCAGAGCCTCAGAATCCAAGCTTCCTAAGAATGCACAGAACGTCAAGGGTTCTCTTTCTTCAAAGGTCCTCCAGGGGCCAGCCCCGTGGCTTAGCGGTTAAGTGTGCGCGCTCCGCTACTGGCAGCCCGGGTTCAGATCCCGGGCGCGCACTGACGCACCGCTTCTCCCACATACAGCCACTAGAAGGATGTGCAACTATGACTCACAACTATCTACTAGGGCTTTGGGGAGAAAAAGGGGGAAAAAAATAAACATAGTTTAAAAAAAAAAAAGATCCTTTTCACTGTTGCTCTTTTTGGGAAAATCTAAAGTGGCTGTAGGGTGAAGGAAAAATTACATAGGCAATTTTTTTTTCCTTTGCCTTTTGGACACTTTTAGATTCCACTTGTTCCTCCCAGCTGTACTATCATCTAAGGGTTGATTTTTTTCTCCTCATCCTTGCAAATACTCTTCCTAGTAGACTCAATTTCTCTGTCTGCCCACATCCAGATGAGGTGCTTGCCTCAAATATGGAAGCTGCAAGGTGGCTCTCTTTCCACCCATCATGGACTTACTTTTCTTGGGAATTCAGTTCATAGGGTCTCCTTGCATCTATTGTTTTTTGCTGGTGCCATGGAAAATAAGATTTTAATTTTGCTAAGGTTATTGTTTTTACCATTGATGTAAAAGCATTTCACATTCTTCTATGCCCCAAACCTGGAATTGAAGAAAGCAAAGCTACTGTATTCATGCGGATTCTGCTGCACCCACACCTCCTTGACATTCCAGGACTTGGAGTCAGACCCCATGCTTTGGTCTTGGCCTTTAACAACTACAGGTCATCTCAAGCGAAGGAATATTGTGTGGGTTTCAGTGCTTTCTCAATAATTTTAGATCAAATTAATTTTCTCAATTAATTTTAGATTAATATGCACATTTAGGTCATGAGAGTTGAAAAACTATTTTGTTGTTTTTTTCCTTAATTTGAGGCAAATTTTAATAATTTGGCTGACTTTTCAGGGAAGAAAGATCTGTGGTTTGGGGTTAAGTCATATTCTAGTTTTATTGGGAATGGATATTTCTTCAGTGTTCCTCTTTATTTTTGTCCATTTTGGTAGGTTTTTCAAAAGAAAATGAGCCACTCATTTTTTCACTTCTACTTCGAAGATATCAGGCTGATTTTTGTTCCATTTTAAACTGTTTACTCACTCCCTCCTGACCTACCCCACCCCACCCCATCCACTTGATTCTTACACACTTCCTCCTTTATCCTTTAACTTGAAAAATATCATTATTTTTAAATATTTTTTGTCATTATATTTGATACTTGGAGGGCCCCCTTGGGAAATACACATATCTTCCCACTGCCTTGAAAAATTAATTTCCATTGTACTTTTTACAATATATATATTTTTTCTTCAGTGTATTTTTCTTGCAACTGTACTTTCTTCTTTGTGGATATCTCTTTACCAAATACTTTACTTGTCATCATTTTTTTCTCTCTGCTCCATGTACTTTTATTTCTCTCATTGTTTTCAAATGTGTTTTAATTTTTTTTGAAAATTTGACAGGATTACAAAATTTTTTTCGGTATCATGGAAGATTTTATGTTCTTTACTGACTTCAATGAGAATTTATGTTATTTGCTTTTTATTTCTTTTTACTTTTCTTCTTGAATTTTATTATAGTCACTAAAAGGAAGATTTGAAATCTTCTGTTCATTGTAATAAAGTTTTCTTTTAAAAATTACGTATGTTCTCTGCCTCTTGAGGGTAATCTACCTTTCCTTATGTTCCAGCATTTGGGAGCTCCTGATAATGACCGCACAAAATGAAGCCTGTGAATAAATAGCCTGAGTGGATCCCTCTGAGAGCTCCTCACTGCCTGTCTGGACGCTGGTAGAATCTCTGATCTTGCACTGAAGGGAAAATTGACCCACATGATCCCTAGTCAAATTTCTATAAGAGCGTGGCACACTGGTAAAGAGTGCGGTCTCCAGAACTTGACCATTTGGGTTAAAGTCCTGGTTCTGCCACCATTAGCTGTGTTTGGCCAGTCATTTCTCCTCTCTCTGCCTCATTTTCCTCATCTTTTAAGTGAGAGAATAATAGAATCTATCCCGAAGGTTTACTGTGAGGATTAAACTAATTAATTCTTATAAAACACTTAGAACAACCTAGAACATAGGAAACCCTCATGAAATAGTCAATATTATTTTCTTTCCAGTATCCTATATTCAAACTACCTCCAATTTCTCTTTGTTCCAGCCATAATGAGCAAGATGAAATTCTCTGAAATTTCATGAGATTTTTCTATCTACTTACCTTTGGATTTTGTTGCCCTTGGGCTTATTGTTTGTTTGTTTAATGGTTGGTTTGAGACTTTTGTACTCTACAAGGATCGAGTTAATCATACTTTCGATTTCATGGCACACAAAATGATTGGTTTAAACAAAGCTCCTTTCTTGCTTTGGTTATTTATTTTCTTAAATTTACACTCTCATTTCATCCTCAACCTCCATTCTCATTTCCCACTGCCACAGGTCACCTTTTCATTGTCCTTGATGGCGATCCTTCAGTTCTCGGATATTCTTGAAAAATGTGTATTACAAGTAGTGTTAATCAACATAAACGATATTGTGATATAACTCTCAAACTTTTCTTATTTTTATTTAACTGGCACTGTTTTTAAGATCTCTTCATGTTGATGGGTGGATGCCAATCCATTGCTTCTGAATCCTACACAGTATTCTATGGACTAATGTTTGTTTTACAACACTGCGCCACAATACTCTACATTATGATGACTAGCTTTGTACAGGTCCCCTCATGGGTCCATGTGGGAATTTCCTTGGCACACATACCAGGAGCAGAATTGATTGATGCGAGGATATTGCTAATAGTAACGAACTGGTAGTGAGTCACCAAAATGGTTGCATCAGTCTATACGCCCACCAGCAGTATGTTAAGTTCCTTAAATTCCTTTAATTTAGAAAATTCAAGTATGCCAAATGGTGGGGACAACATTTGACTCTGTTACACTTTCTTTTATTTTTTTTTTTAATTTTATTTATTTACTTTTTCCCCCCAAAGCCCCAGTAGATAGTTGTATGTCATAGCTGCATGCCTTCTAGTTGCTGTATGTGGGTTGCGGCCTCAGCATGGCCAGAGAAGCTGTGTGTCGGTGTGTGCCCGGGATCCGAACCTGGGCCGCCAGCAGCGGAGCGTGAGCACTCAACCGCTAAGCCACGGGGCCAGCCCCTCTGTTACACTTTCTAATTTTGTCGGTCCAATGAGGGATAAATATAAATTATGTCTCATAAATTGCCTTAATTTTTATTTCTTTCCTTCCTGAGCTTGAATATCCTTTCATGTGATTTTTCAGCCTTCTGGCTCCCTTCTGCTATGCATGCAATTGGAAACAGCTGTTCTGATGTTTCTTTTCGGTTTGATTGCACAATGTTTTCTATTTCAGAGCTTCACATTTACTTCCTTACTTCCTCGTTTTAAAATAAACAGGTCAGAATGAGCAAGAGGCACATAAGCGTGGGTCAGCAAACGTGGGCCCTTCTCTGCAAGAATTTTCTTAAAAAATGGAGGATGAAAAGAGAGACCTTGATGGTATGGTTCAGAGTCTATGTCTTCCCCATATTTAGAAAAGGATAAAGTATTTTCTCCAGCAGTGCAAACACTTTATCTTCATTATTTAATGTTTTATATATATTCTATTTCTAACTAACAGGCTGGATTTTTCTTTTTTCAAATTGTGGACTTTGCTATTATTTTAAATAAGGTTCCTTTAAAATATATCATTATTACATGTCTTAGTGGAGGCATTTTAAAAAGAATTCATATTCAGAAACTCCCTGAAAAATAAAGCCACATCTTTATACTGCAGAGACAACAATTCTTAACGTTTGAACTCATTTGAATCTCATAAAGGAATAGGTACAGAAGTTCAGGGTCCAAGTTGAAGAAAGAGGCAGAATTTAATTCAGAAAGTAATCCAAAGTTTAAAAAAACACTCAAAAGACAAATTGTAGCACTTGCACACAATTGTACTGTGGATTTAGACAATGCCAATTTGAAATAAATAATGGGCATATAAACAAACAAGAAAAGAAAATGGCATTTTGAACTTTTGCTTCTATTACGATAGTACTTATTTTCTTCTGATTGTAGAATGATTAGATGTGCTTTGTGTAGAAAATTCAGAAAAATATAATAAATAAATTAAAATCACTCATTAAATACCATAGTTCAAGGTTTGATAAGATTAACATTCAATCTCACGAGCATTTTGTGTATGGGTGTGTGTGTGTGTGTGTGTGTTCTTTCAGCAAATATGTACTGAGAGCTTGGATTGGCGGTGAATAAGATATACAAAAATTCCTACATGGAGTAAAGATTATATAAATATAAATATAAAAGTTGGATTCTACTCTATATAGATGTTTTACTTACAACCTTTTAACTCTTTTTTATATAAGCATTGTATCTGTCAATTTATCTATCTAGATAGATTAGGTATAGATTAGACCAACACCCACAGCTAAAACCAGATCATATGGTGAATAAGATATACACCTCTTTTAAAGGCCATGTATTTAGAATTATAACTAAATAATGAAGTGTGTTCTTGTCACTGGACTTCAAATGCATTATGTGCATTTCCAATTCCAGAATGTTGTCACAATGATGAAGACCTTTACAATTCTTTTTATGAGCAATATTTTGGGACTATCTTCTTCCACATGTAGGCAGCAGAAGATAAAATATGACCTCGCTCCTGTTGATGGAAGCTGGTTATCTATTTTATGCCACCTAACATTTCTTCACCATTGTCACTCAAGTGTCAGCATAATTCTAAACTGTTGCGCTGTCCATGAAGCAATCCAGCCTTTAGCATTTGCATTAAAGTATGATAAACTTAGATTCTCAATTATCATTGGAATTGATGCTGCAACTCTGTCTTGATGGATGATGTGCATATTTCAAAATATGCAGATTAATGGACAAAAGAAAATCGAGACATTTAAAAACTGGGAGAGAGGAAAAAATGGAATCTAAGCTACATAACAGAATTACACATTTTAAATTGTTTGTGGATGATTAATTCATAGTTGAACTGCTGTTGATTTGCTTCATTTTTCTCTCATTGCTGTGTAGGAATGGTTTTTCTCATTTCTTCTAGTACTGTTTGCATACCTATTTTCCTCCGATTTACATCAAGTTAATGACTTGCCTCAGTTGCCTGCAATGGATCTGGGACGTGTAGATAATTTTAATGATTCTAATTATGTTATTGCATTTGCACCTGAATCCAAAACAACCCAGGAGATAATGAACAAAGTGGCTTCAGCCCCATTCATGAAAGGTAAGTTCTCTGGCAGTTCATGGTAATTTTCTTATTTGCATGGTACATAAATTCATTTTGGGTTTTCCTTGATAAACTGTGTTAAATGTTCAAGTTTTTAGATTCAATTAACAACATTAATGCATATTCCTTTCCAATATCAAGGAGATTTTCTTACTCTATTTACTAGTCTCCTATTTAGAAAATTTTATGTTAAAAGAGTTATCCTCATTATAGTCCATATCAAAATGAGATGGTCCAGGATTGTTCAAATGTTTGTTTATTAGAAGATTCTGGAAAGAGTGTGCAGTGGTGACAGCATGGTTTTTTAATGTCTTCTAATACACACATAGAAATTGAGAGAAACATTAGCAAAACCAAGAAACCATGGGTAATATTTACAACAAAACTAGATGACAAGGTCTTTCTTTAAACCCCAAAATATGAGTGAGCAGGGAAGAAGCACTAACAGTCAATAGGCCTACACAGTATCTCTCTCAGGAGTGGTGAGAGAGCAAAGGGAAGAAACAGGGTATCTGATGGACCTGAGAGGAGAATCAGAACCCCTTACGAGGAAACTAGTAGCCACAGCAAAGCAGAGAGGGCCAATTTGAGAACAGCAACTGAAACCATCTTCAGTAATTGCATTGGTAATGTAGTATTAGCATGTTATTCTGAGGCTGTTATATATTTCAAGTGGGATATATCAAATAAGTAATCATGGAATAGTCGAATTCTCTCACTCCTGTGTCCTTGAAACACAGGAGTCTCAGTATGGGAAGAAAGGAGATGCAGAGATCTGGGACAGGAAATTTACGGGGTGAGGAATCTTGTCATTCCAGATAGCGAGGAAGCCACTGAGAGTGAATAGGTTATGTCAAAAGCACTCAGCAGTCAACTTAAACAGACTTCCACTGGTCAAAGTTGGCACCCTTGAGCTTCAACAAGAATAATAAGTGCAATGATTTGAAACTCATCCAATATGTATTTAAATCCACACTTTCATAATGATATTGGAAGAAAAAAATTGTTTTGCCTTTAAACGGTGATAGGAAATCAGTTCTTATTATGGAAATTTGTAAATAAAGGGGAAATACCAGCATTTATCCTATATGAGCTGTACTGTTGGATAACCAGACAGATGATGGGAAGTGCTGTTTTATAAACATTTTCTACTAATAAATGAAAAACAAATGATGGAAATTGAACATCACCATTTTGAAACTCCCATTGAATTAACAGATCTAGACATTGAGTGGCAATGGCTGCTAATATCTCAAAAAGAGAAACAATCAGAAATTATGACACACTGATGAAAGAATACACCACCTACAGTCTTCCCTAAAGGATTGGACCTGAGTCTGATTAAGACTGTGGATACAACTGCCAGAGTTCAGGAAATACAGAGGACAAAGGAACATGTTGAACTGTCCCGGGAGCATGCATTCAACAGAATCCAGACAGTGGGAAATTATACGGGTTAAACGGCCTGGGTTTGATCAGTAACCATCGTTCATTCACAGTATATATTTTAGAATTAATAAAGTCTCTTGAGAAAGCACTCTTCAAATTTAACAATTTTCTGCTGTCTTTGGAAGTTTGACCATGTCAACACCATTGATATATTATAATTATATATTTTAACTTTAGCTACGTCTGTGTGTACGTGAGTTTAAATGAATGCATCAATGTTGCTATTATTTCAAGTTCATTGTGCTTTAAATTATTGGTTAAATAGTTTATTTGGGAAGGCACAATCTATTTGTGATAAAAATGATTGCCCCATAACACTTCTGATTTTATCTAGAATGTTAGAATTCCTTCCCCCACAAGTGTGAGTCTCTTATTTAGGACCAGCACTGCCTTTAGTTAGTTAAAGAAATAACTTTAACATAAAGTAGCTTTAACATAATTGAATATGGCATGCTGTCTTTGGACCACATAGAAATCTTCTCATTTAACTATTCCCTTCTTTCATGTGGCAGGAAGAACAATCATAGGGTGGCCTGATGAAAAAAGCATGGACGAATTGGATTTAAACTATTCCGTAGATGCAGTGAGAGTCATCTTTAATGATACCTTCTCATATCATTTGAAGTTTTCCTGGGGAGGTAGGATCCCCATGATGAAGGAACACAGAGACCATTCAGGTAACTTTGCTGTTAGAAAAAAATTTTTTTTGCTGTCATGTCATTAGTCACAGTGGGCATATGTGATAGCAGAAGTTTACACAAATATGCTTAACATATACTTCTAATTTCTGAACATAAATGAGATTCATTCTTATTAAATAAAGCTTATATTCTTAAGTATGTTGTTTACTAAGAAATTATATTTGCTATTATTCCTATGTTACTCCTAAATAACTCTTGCTCATTGATTGCCAAAGGCTCTTGCTCATTGATTGCCAAACATTAAAAGAAAAAAATTCAGGGGGTAGCCCGGTGGCACAGTGGTTAAGGGCACACCCTCTGCTTCTGCAGCCCGGGGTTTGCTGGTTCGGATCCCAGGGGCGCACTGACGCACCGCTTGTTAAGCCATGCTGTGGTGGCATCCCATATGAAGTAGAGGAATTTGGGCGCAGATGTTAGCCCAGGGCCAATCTTCCTCACCAAAAAAGGGGAGGATTGGCATCAGATGTTAGCTCAGGGCTGATCTTCCTCACACACACAAAAAATTCAGTGCTTTCTTGGCACAAGCAACAGAAGAGCAAAGCTCAACAAAACCTTCTTGACTAATGGAAAGAATTATAAGATTGAACGAAAATTATGGAGAACTGATCTGAGCAACACTAATAAAGCAATTCTGGTGTATCCTCCTTGGGTGTACTCTACAAACCTCACCTGAGAATCTTACTACACACTATATTATCATGGACTGGGAGTGCATTTTGGAACATTTGAACTTTTGATTTTTCCTATAACCAAGATTATCCCATTCTGTCATAATAGTTGTGTTGTTGTTCTTTTCCTAAAGCTCATTGTCAAGTAATGGATGAAAAAGTCACATGTGAAGGTTCAGTGTTCTGGGAGAAAGGCTTTGTAGCTTTTCAAGCTGCCATTAATGCTGCTATCATAGAAGTGAGTAGTAAGTTAAAGGAATCTAATTACATTGTAAATTAAATTTTGATGGATGGTGATATAATGGATTGTTGTAGGTTATCATTTAATTAATTTATTCACTTAATTTGGTACAATATGCTGAACAACTACTATATTTAAAACTTTATGCTAAGCACTGAGGATCAGGAAATAAATAGAACACAGGCGCTTTTCTCTAGGGATTCCAGGTAGTGGGAGGATAGATATACGGATAAATAGTCATAATAAGAGTTTAGGTTCTACCATGGAACTATAAATGACATGCTAGGCAAACAATGAAGCAGAAGATACTCTGATGAGAAATATCAGCGAACACTTACTAATTGAAGTGACATTTCAGCTGAGACTTCAAGCTTGAGTAGGATTTTGTCCTAAGATGGTAAGTAGGGATGTTCTAAGGAGTCAAGACAGAAACCGAGTGTTCCAGGAACTACAAGGGGACAGATCATGATGGGCATATATATTTAAATGCAGAATGCACATAATTTCTTATAATTGAGAGAAAACACATGAGGTTATAATTAGCTTAATGATAATTTGTTCATTGATATCTTTCTTTAGATCACAACAAACCATTCAGTGATGGAAGAGCTGATGTCAGTTACTGGTGTAAATATGAAGATATTACCTTTTGTTGCCCAAGCAGGAGTTACCACTGATTTTTTCATTTTCTTCTGCATTATTTCTTTTTCTGCATTTATATACTATATATCAGTCAATGTTACACAAGAAAGACAGTACATTAAGTCATTGATGACAATGATGGGACTTCGAGACTCAGCATTCTGGTAAATTACATGGCTACCATCCATCATGCAACATAATAAAAGGAAAAAGTTAGCTGGTTGGACTCCCTAGACCTATTAAGTACCATATTTATTAGATTTATCATATTGGTGCTTTCATAAAGCAGTGCATTATAAATGAATGGAGTAGATGAATGTAAAGGCTTCATAAATGAAACTCACTTCTTTGAATTAAAGAAAACCTGATCCTGTAGATTGCTGAAATCCAGGTCACTAACCAATACTATTGATGACTATCAGTCATCTGGTTACCATATATGGGGGAATCCAAATATATAAGAACTTGAGGTTTCTAATGTTTGATGAAATATATGTCTCAGACATTTCATTAGCGAGGGTGAGTGATTTTGCCCTCACATTGAATGAGTCATCACTTTTATGACACCAAAAGGGAAGAAGACTGTCAGGCTCTTTAAGCATAGAGCTTTCCTTAGTGGCAGTGGAGCAGGACGGTATGAACACAGGCCTGGGAGGCGGGAAGCTATGGGTCTTCTTCATCCAAGCATTTAGTAGCTACCATCTTGAACAAGTTACTTAATCTCTTTAAATCTCACTTCTCTTTTCTGGAAAGCATTGATAATAATATCTCTCTCTCATTGGCCATGAAGATTAAAGAAGAGAGTGTATTTAAAATACTTTGCACTGAGTTCAACACAAACTAAACTCTCAATATTAGATAGCAGCTGATAGAACTTTAGGAAGTATTATGACCTAAGAGGGCACTAGATGCAAATTAAGAAACCAAGGATCCAATCCTCAATTAGCAACAAAAATTTTTTAATGAGTTTGGCCAAGAGATGTTTTTGAGACATACAGTAGTAAAAGCATATATGTTCTGGAGTCAGAAAGCAGTGGTCTGAATTTGCCTTTTACACACTATGGTATTATTCTCAATGTTTCACAAGATTTGTAGAATATATAGAATAGTTCTAGATATATACCACAGAGTCTTTAACAAAATGGTAGACACGTTGAGTAGCAAGACTCCACAGTTTTAATGTTGCCAATTTACACCAAATTTATTTATTTTTCCTTAATAAGTGTTCAATAGACTGAGTGTAAGAGTGGAGAAAATGGACTGCTGGTTTGGTCTAGAATGGGAGTTTTCTTTGGCGTCTCTTTTTGTATTTACATTGTTTAACTCAATACTGAAGGAAATTTTGGTCACTGTATTTAAAAAAATAATGGGAAGGTACAAAGAGTCAGAGAAAAGCAACCAATTAGATAAATTTAAAAAAGAAACCAAATATATTCAACCAGGAAGGGTTAAAAAGAATCAGGGCTTTTTCCCATGAGAAAAGACTGTGACATCCTATTCCTACAACGTGTGAATGCAATTGTGGAGAGGTTTATATAACACATAGAGACGAACAATTTCAGATGAACAGAAGTGTGTTGTGCAAAGAGAATCGTTACAATTAAGCAAGACTTTCCAAAATATGATGGCATTTTTCTACTTTGAATAAAAGAAAACTAATTGTTCATTGTGGACCCATTATAAACCAGTTGCCATATTAAACCCATAAAATACAATATTTCATTTAGTTCTCTTATTGTTTTTCAGTAGAGGATAAGGAAGTTTAATAAGATTAAGTTACTACCTCTGAGGATCATATACAATGTAGCAGAGAAAACTTGCACCCAGATCTGTATGATTGGAGAGTTTATTCTCTTTCCCCTATAAAGAACTTTCTTCCTGTTTCCTTGACATCGATAGCAAGAAAAACATACATCGTATCCATCTGTGTATCTGTATCTATCCATGTCTTATGTCTATGTGTATATCTGTAATTTATTTCAGGGGTTGGCAAACTATGACCCATTTTTGTACAATCTGCAAACTAGAAATAGCTTTTACATTTTTAAATGCTTGAAAAAAATCCAAAGAATAATAATACTTTGTGGCACACAAAAATTTATATGAAATTCAAATTTCAGTGTCTACAAATAAATTGTTATTGGAACACAGCATTTGCATGTTGCTGTGACTGCTTTTGTGCTACAAAGGCAGTGTTGAGTAGTTGCAACAGAGATCATATGGTCTGAAAAGCCTAAAATATTTACTATCTGGCTCTTCAGAGAAAAAATGTGCTGATCCCTGCTTCATGGTGTATTTTTTGCCCATGGTGTTTATACAATTACTTTGCTGAAAGAGGAAGTCCAGAACTGACAAATGGTCACAGATGTCTTCCCTCAAAACCTCTCCCAATTACTCTCATTTTATCACTCAGTTTATTTCTTTCTTATTTTGCAATTAGCTATCTATGTTAGCTGTTTACTTGTTTATTGCCTATCTTTCCCTATAAAATACGAACTTTAGGGGCAGAGAAGTTTTCTGATTCATTAGCTGTTGTATTCCCTTTGCCCTTGATATATGGTAAGCTTCACAATCATTTGCTGAATAAAGGAATGAATGAAGTGATGAAGTACCAGTATTCTGAACTGTTGCTTCGTTTCTGTGCTAGGCTCTCCTGGGGTTTGCAGTATGCTGGTTTCATCTCTATTATGGCCACTCTGATGGCTCTTATTATAAAATCTGCCCAAGTTTTCGTCCTAACTGGCTTCGTGGTGGTCTTCGCTCTCTTCCTCCTCTATGGCTTGTCTTTGGTGAGTTGGCGAATTTAATATCAATCCCTCTCTCTCTCTTTGGACTCTTTCTCAGAGAAACATACCCATCATTTCTCAAACATACCCATCATTTCTCACTGATTCTGGTCACATCTATTCTGTTTTGTTTCCAGTATTTGCATGAGACGGTATCTAGGGGTGGGGGGGAATGGATGAAATATAGTTTTGTAGTATGAAATTCTGTTTATTATGCTATTGATGATTCTCAGAGAATTGTATACTACCTGAAGTTTTTCTCTCCTCTCAGATAACTTTAGCTTTCCTGCTGAGCGTGTTGGTAAAGAAACCCTTCCTTACTGGATTGGTTGTCTTTCTCCTTATTGTCTTTTGGGGGAGTCTGGGATTCACTGCGTTGTACAGACATCTTCCTGCATTTTTGGAATGGATCTTATGTCTTCTTAGCCCCTTTGCTTTCACGGCTGGAATGGCCCAGGTAAGAGTTAATGTAACTATTTAATTTTTTTAAAAAACAGAGTCCCTCTGAATAATTGATGCTACATCAATTGATGCTACATTTAGTGCTAAACATTAAAATTCCCACCCACTTTTGTAAAGATACACACTGAAGAGCTAGGAAAGGTTTTTATTTTTCTTTCTCAGCATAATTAGTTTTCTTTCTTTTTTTTTTTTTTGGTGAGGAAGACTAGCCCTGAGCTAACATCCATTGCCAATCCTCTTTTTTTTTTGCTGAGGAAGCTTGGCACTGAGCTAACAACTGTGCCCATCTTCCTCTATTTCACGTGGGATGCGTGCCACAGCATGGCTTGATAAGAGGTGCATAAGTCCACGCCTGGGATCCGAACCTGCGAACCCCAGGCTACCAAAGCAGAGCGTGCGAACTTAACCACTACGCCACCAGGCCAGCCCCATAATTAGTTTTCTTTTATGTCACTAAGTATAAGCAAATACTCCATGATTGATGTGGTTCAGCTTTTCTTTTAATGGACTGTCCCAAAGAACATTTATCTAATTTAATGCTCAGGAAACATGACCCTTAATGTTATTGCAAATATTTGAAAACCAGCAACTTGGTAGAAATAAACTTTTATTTTTTGATTGGCCAGTTATATATGAAACTGAACCTCCTCTCAGAAAATTTAATTCTAGTTGTGACATCATATAAAACGCTAAGTGAAGGGTTATGTTACATATAAACTCATTTTATCTTACTATAGTTCCGTATGAAATTATTCTTCTGCCAACAGCCCAGCTACCGAAGTACTTTCGCCTCTCCATGTTTTTACTCTCAAATGGTGTTCCCTGTCTAGAATGCCCTCTTTTTTCCTCCATCCTCAGCCCGATGAAATCCTATAGGCAGCCCAGCTCAAATATCACCTTCCTTGAGTTTTTATCTCCTCTTGGGGGACATGCCTGCTGCTGCCTGTGGCTCTCTAAGCCCTTGGTACCTACCTCCACTAACTTCCCAAGTTGCTTTGTAGTTAGATGGTTTCATTGCTGTACTTTCCAATAGATTAGAGCTCTGTAAAGACAAGAACTATGTTTTATTTATTTTCAATCCTGGTGTCTAGCAGAAATAAGACAATAATAATTTTTAATGCTCTGTTTATCCTTTTTAAATTCAATGTATGTATCTTTTTTCAGCTTATACATTTGGACTACGATGTGAATTCTAACACCCATTTGAATTCTTCAAACAGCTCACACCTAATAATAGCTACTCTTTTCATGTTGGTTTTTGATGCTCTTCTCTATTTGATATTGACACTGTATTTTGACAAAATTTTGCCGAGTAAGTAGTAACATGATTGTGATTCAACATAATTTCATTCTTTGCCTTTCTTTAAAATAACTGTCTGCAATGTATTGGGTATAAATTATCAAGCTTTTTTCCCCACAATTTCTAAAATAAGCTTAATGGTATTTTGCACTTCGTTTACAGAATCACTTTCTAAGATCTTGTTCTACCATAACACTTTAAATTGTTTATTTTTAGAAAGAGACACTTGCAAGAAGTTAAGGATAATTATACAGTTAGTGCTTGTACCAGAACTAGATGAAGAATGCTAGCGCTTGATACTGATCTTAGGAATTTCTAAATGTTTCCTAAAACAATTGCATTGACATGCTATCCTATGGTGACTATAATCCTTAAAGTGGTGACAGACCCTATATTTAATTGCTTCCTCTTCATGTAGCTGAATATGGACATCGACATTCTCCCTGGTTTTTCCTGAAATCCTCTTTTTGGTTTCAACGCCAAAGGGCTGACCATGTGGCCCTTGAGAATGAAATAGATTCAGATTCTTCCTCTAATGACTCTTGTGAACCAGTGTCTCAAGAATTCCATGGGAAAGAAGCCATCAGGTAAAAATAAATTACATGGA